GTTTAAGCACTTCTTTGTGGTAAATGATCATTGTAGATGTACAATTTTTATAAGATAGAGATGTCAAAACTCTATATTTAATCATTTCATTTTATCTGACTTCAAGAGATGTGAAAACTAATGACTAAAAGAAATAATGAAATATAAAGCATAAACACGTCGTCAATGTTTAAAAACGAAACGGATTACAACTAAATTTAAACGTAAATACCCTAATATGTAATGATTTAAAGTCATTTTTTTTTAAATATTTTAAACATGTGGCGGCCATCTTGGTTATTTTAGACCCAATTTACTTAAAGTATATGTGCTAGTATACCCTTAGGAACACTAGGACAACGATGACACTGTAATAATCATGAGTTGTAATCTAAAATTTATTACTAACATTTGATTTTTGCTGAATAATATTATAATTGCTTCTATTAAGATTTGGAAACTGAATAATTCAGGTGTTTCAGGGGTATCTAAAACTACAACGTTACAGTCAACAGATGGTAAAGTATACTTATAACGATAATGGTGTTTGGATTATTTTCATACGGATATATATCATCTGCCATTTAAAAATATAAGTTTAGATGCAATTAGTACTTTTGGCTGTTTATATTTTTGTTTGATTTCTGATAAATATGTTTTGACTATCATTTCATTAGAAGTACTTTTTTTTTACATATGAATTTTTTATTTCAATCATTCAATTTCTTATTGTTTTTCATTTTACAAAAAAACAACAAAAAAAAAAAAAAAAAATACAAAAAAAAACACAACAACAACAAAAATAACCAACAACATTATTTCTACAATTGTATTATCATTTATAAAAGTGATTGTCAGATGAATATCCTCCTCTCTTTTGCTACTGATGTAGACAGAAATGAATATTTTTCTATTGATTTCAAATGTTTATACTATTTCTATGCAACGATTTTCCCACTTTTATGTATATAATTTTGTCGTTCGTCCCGTTATTTTTATAATGTCTTTTTACGTTTTGTTATTCATTCTATGTTCTAGGCAAAACTTCTAACTCACTTTTGCATAAGATTCTAAATAATTCATATAGTATCGTGTACAAATCAAATATTATGTGAATAAATGCCACCATTTCTAATCAAGTTGCATATTTCAATTCCTCAAAACTCTAAGAAACGATATTCGCTTTTAAAAATTGAACTATTTCAACAACCGGCTGGCCTAAATTGTTCTTATATTGGTACTTGTATGTTACAAGCATATTAGTGTTGGATTAAAAGTTGCACATACATAGATATAAATAATCTTCTTTTCAATCCTCCTTTCCCTACCCTCTCATGAGTATGATTTAAATTGGTGTTATAATTAGTCTTACGTTTCTTGAATTATAATTATATGAAGAAAACAGTGAACAGAACTGATGATATTTGGCACATGTCAAGGTTATCAATTTTTACCCGCATAAAAGGAATATCTAAATTTATGTTGTATTTTATGCAATAATGTTAAGGTAGATATAACGGTTATATCATTTTAGAAAACTCTTCATATATTCATATTAAATGACATTTGTTAGAGTCCATTAACAGAACTGAAAAGAATTATAACATTTAAACAACTTCACTTTTTACTCTGGTCTGATATTTGACCGATGTAATAGCCGTGTACAAATAATTGTCAGTTTAGAAAAATAATATGATGGTGGTAGTGGTGGTGTTTGTATTATGCCCTCCTCATGGACGGGAGCCACATTGAATTTACCAGAGCACAGTTCAGCCACCGCATCGTTCCTGGTCAGGTTTTCAAGTAGTAACCCAGTACTAGTTGCCTTAACTTTCGAACTTCTGTACATGCCAGAGCAGATAACAGAAGAATGGCTTTCTTATGTAATCAAATTAATTAAATGCATCAGTCGTGTATTTAGATGAAGTATCCCTTGCAATTGTTTAATTAAAAAAAATCGAAATAACTAAAGTGCAAACATTTATGTACCCTCTGTGCTCCATATCATGAAATGTAAAATTGTATTGTGTTATAGGCATTGTATTTACATGCTTTATGCAATAAACTTTTGAACTGAATTGAATTGAAATTATTATACCTGTATATATTTCTTATGTACTGTCACATGCTCTTGAATTTTACATGTATATAATTTTGTCTAGTATGTTTCCTATAGCTAGCATCTTATGTTGACAACACACAAAACTAATAATGACTAATTTATAACAAAAATGATTGAGAAAAAAAAGTGTTCAAGTGTTTTCTTCCTAGGTAACAAAGACAGATTTACAACAACTGCAAATGTCTCAGGACACACCGGGAAGATTTTACGTAGGTTACGTGATTTTGAAAGTCCTTAATAAAAACAGTTTACTTTTTGTATTCAAAATCTCCATTATATTGTTTTAACGACATGTATTCTACAAAACGCCCTTTTAAAATGATGAAGGATCATTGTTTGATTTCAATCGTTATTTATATAGATAGAATTTATGACGGCGCGCCGAAGTACTTAGCTCTATGCACAATTTATCCTTAATAATAACATCATTGATTTCAATCGTTATTTATATAGATAGAATTTATGACGGCGCGCCGAAGTACTTAGCTCTATGCACAATTTATCCTTAATAATTACAATACAAGCACTGATGATTACCTAAACAAACAACGGTTGTTTGTTCAAACAATCTGTTAAAATTCTTATCTGCTTTAGATTTTCTGAATTATTAATTCTACACATATTCTAAACAGTACAGTATAATCTAGTATAGTGCATTGCGTGTTTTATATTTATTGAAGGAATAAAAGGCTATATTACAAAGTTATTATTTTATATAACGTGGAGGAAAATGATAAACCTTTCTTCAAAATATCAATTTGTAACATATTTATCAGAGACGATTTACAAAATATCGTTATAATGAATAAAAAGTTTTCACTTCTTATGAGGTGAATGCAATTAAATTATAAAGATCATAAAAGTAGAACGTTATATATTTACACTATATATACGTTATCTAGAGTACCTTTATTTAACCATTAAACATTCTTGTCTCATTTTTGGATGGCACTATTGAATAATCGATTATCTTGAATTTCAGCTGAACGAAAAACAAACTCAAAGGACATTGTAATTGGTGTAAGCGTCGGGTTGGTAGGACTCCTACTCATTGTCGGTATTGTCATCATTGTGGCCATGGTCATGACAGGAAAGTAAGAAAATGAATTGTTATTTGATTGCCAAATGTTTAAAAAAAAACATTAATTTAAGGTACTACTATAAATTGAATCATATCATCATTAAAATTCAAATATGAAGGTACAGTTATTTAAACGATGTTAATATATTACGGATAAAAAGGACGAACGTCTGTTTAAAGGATTATTTTCTATTTTTTAGATTTAAAGCAAATAGATCTGCACCAAGCTTGTCAGTGAAGCAACACCAAGCAGAACACATTCATGAATATATAAATTCTCCGATACCTTATCACCTGCCGCAAAAAAAAGCTTGAGATGGGAATCTAATCATAATGCGATCTAAAAAAATTTAAACCGTTTGTTTGTAAAATGATGTGTTAACGATTTGTATAAACCTTTGTATGGCTTCTAGTGTATGCTTACTGATATTGGAATTAAGCAACGTGACAATTTTGTACACATTTTATGGAGTATAAACAATTTAGTTAAAATTTTTACATTTAAAAAAAATATTCATGCTTAAAAGTAAATATAAAAAAACGCCGGAAACATTCCATGTGTATTGCTGTTTACTTCATATAATTACAAGAATAAACTTAGGCCTAAAAGCTGCACGTGTACCCACTTTATTAATCTTTTTATTGTTAAATAACTAACAGAATTATGACCGATGAATCAGTCAAATTTAAGATGTTCTTTTCAGAATAATTTTTGTGCTCACAACTCCTTACAAACCGCACATAAAAGCAAAAAAAAAAAAAAAATTACAAAAAATTGACTTCGTTAGGTTATATGGCCTCACACATCACAAGTGTTGATATGCTATATAATTTGAGCCGCCAAGTTGCTGGGAAACAACCGTTTATAATATAATGCGGCTATATAACCTGTCAAATTATCTACGACGATTTTATGATAAGCAAGCTTACCTTACTAATTTAAGGCAGCCATTAGTGCGTTAGTAACATCATATAAAACATGATTATCCAATGAAAAGCGACGTTAAAACGTACAGGAATTTGAAATTAGAAATTCACACTTAGTAGTAATTTTGATTAATTGTTATTTGTGACACATATTACCCGTTAGCATTTATTTACGTCTTTTTCAACTTTGTTTATTATACATTACGGATTGGTCAATGAAAACCACTTTGAAAATCCCGGCTATTATCAATTATTTTATAACCTGGAACTTAACACGGATTGGAAGTAGTTCTACAGAGGGTGTTACCTTTGATAATGTATAACGAATATATATATTTAACATTAAAGGGAAAATAAAGGCCATTTCGGTAAAACTGACTGAAAATATGTCAGACAATCATTATCCATTTAAAAACGCTCACTGACAAATTCGACTTAATGCCAACTTTCGATTTCTACAACCATAATAATAAGTTTAAAACTTATGTACTGTTACTTTAATATCTATGAATTTGGGCGGCGATTACTGGATATATTTAACTCAACTTAGTCAACAGTCCATCATTAAATTACTATTTGTTTACAGGTTTAGTACCTAACCTACTTGACCGAAATACCGTATCCATTCTATGTATTCATACTAATGTTGTTCTGAAATCAGACGAAAAGGACCGAAAAGTTGCGATTCCCTTGTCGAATGTAAGGAATAATGGGGGCCTGGTTTTTACCTTTCTTTTTGGCACTAAACTTGGTAAAAAAATGGTAAATTGGTAATAGAATTCATTAAGATAATTAAAATAGTATTCACCTCTTATTTGGTCTTGTACATTCCGAGACTGTTACACGAATATTTCATTGATTAATTTGTCTATGACGAATAATTATTACCAACTTTTGAATGATTTTTTGTCTAATAGTATAATACTTTTTCATTCAAATTAAATTAGAGTTTAACTATGAGTTTAGAAATGTCACTGTGAATGATTTGAATGTTATGACATATATAATTGTACATCACTTGTCAGTTATTAAAAGTATTACTTTTCTTCTTTTTATTGAAATCATTACTATGGTGTTTTTGGAACAGTCAAAAATGTTGTCTCTCGGTATAGAGATGATATTTTGAAATGTTGCCAGAGGCCAAATACCGAAGGACAACAGTTTTGACAGTTCCACAAACACCCATGAAATAACTGTTTTATTACCTTACACTTTGCAATCCAACTAGCATCATTATAATTACATTTTACAAGTGTTTTAATTGTTGACATTTGATTTTCTAAAAAACATCACTTCCGCGACGTTCGATAACCGAAATAGTGACGGTGGCGTGAACGGAAATATCTGATGACGGAGGTGTAACAGTTGACAATGTTAACAGGGCAACTTTTCATTTCATCATTGCGCATGCACAGTATTTCAGCGGTTCAAAAAAACAGTTTTAAATAAGGAATTAGTATTTATAGAAGGCATTAGGTTATAACATCGTCTGTTGATATAAAGGAAAATGGATATATTGGAACGAAAATATCTTCTAAGAGCATCTAAATAACGTGACTCTCTACGGTTAACTGTGGTTAGCTCATTTACTAAGATATTTAACAATTTGCAGTTTAGATATTGTAAATTTAAATTTAACTTATACTTAAGCAAATGATAAGAAAAACCTTTCTTACGATTTTTTATCAATATAGTCATGTATATATTGTATATGTTCAAAGAGCCTACACTAACATTGTATTCATTACTTACCTCATTTATTCATGTTAACATGCAATGTGTGTAATAAAGGAAATTTTACTTGACTTGACTAACCTGATCACAAAGAGCACACGTAGACCTGTTGATTGTCCGCTTTGAACAAATGATTTTTCTGAAAACGTGTAAGTGCACTATGCCAAAGATTGATTCCAATGACATTATTTTGCGCCGACTTAACATACAATTTCGCCTTTGGTCGGTTGAAACGTGTTTAATTTTTTATGCGGAGATAGTATGCATTTTTGCTTCACAAATATGCCGAAAGAATTTTTATATTGTTATGGCCCTGATCGCCCATCCGATCTGATGGTCAGAGCGCAGGTTTGACCTTACTCAGATCAAGGTTAAAGTCACACTTAGTCATTTTGTATGAATTTCAAAATTTTGTGCCCGCTCTACATCTTTAAAACCGATTTTAACATTAATTTTCACTTCAGTGTTATATTTTTCTGAACCTTCGGGATCATTGATGCCAGCACTATTAAATGTTGAGAATTGAGTACCGCTCAAACCGTTGTTGTTATTAATGCTTCCGAGGGATGACTTTGTTTCCAGATTTTTTAAGGAAATTAAATCTATTTGGCAGAACTATTACCACACCCATGTGTTATTCATATAATCTGGAGGTAAAGTCATACATGTATTTGCCCATTATGATATAAACACATACACATATGTATTTGCCCATTATGATATATACACATACACATATATAGAGATTTTGAATGAGTCAGTGTAGCACGATGAAGCGTCAAAACCGCTCTCAGTAATATTAATATTTCTGCAAAATTGATTTAATTTCCTTAAAGAGCGGGCATAAAATTTTGAAATTCATTAAAAAAGTGCGACCTTAACCTTGACCTATATTTTTTTGTTGAATTGGGTTTTACGTCACACCGACACAGTATACATATGGCGACGTTCCAGCTTTACTGCTGGAGGAAGACCTAAGATGCCTTTCTCAAGAGTGACTACTTTAGGCTGCGAGTCGTTATTAAAAGGACATACAAATCATAAAAACTGAATTTGGATGTGAAGAGTATGTGTGTGGTTCACCTATCGCCCAGTCTTTACTCTTAACGGTAATATAACGCACCTGGACTGACTTAAAAGTGATCGTTCATATGTAATTAAAACACTGTTGAAGATGAGAAATAGTTTTTGCTAAGCTGCGCACTTCTTGTTGTGAAACGACAAAATGTGTACAGTGATACAATTATACAAGTTTGTCATTTGATGATAAACTTGCCTTTTTACTGAATACTCATGCACACACCATCACATTCACATACATTTGTGCTTAAAAATATACTATGCACATCTTTCAGTAATATATTTTTATCACAGAAATTTATTGAAATCTATAAAATTCTTACTAAATATGTTTTATTTAAATAAAAACACATACACACAATGTATAGGAATCTGCTTTCCTTATTACAGGTTGTGCCTGTCTTTAAAAGAAACTTCCATATATTTTTTTTGTAATAACACTATACTAAATCATTAACCAATCAATAACTTGTATAAATGGCACTTTTTACGGGCAGGTGAAGTAGGGGCATCTTTTGTTAGGAAAATTCATATAAATAGTGTAATTTGATTTGACTAAACTGCTCGGTGGCCACGACATTAGTAACTTTGTTCCACAACGACTTTATTTATCTCGGTGGCCAAGACTTAGGTAACTGTGGGCCAACGACTTAGTTTATCGTTCCCACCACTTAAAATTATAATCCTCGTTGCCACGAACTTAAGGATCTCGTGGGCCACAACATAGTATTTCGGGTTCCCACGAACTTAACTATCTCGGGCCAAACTTAAGTAACCGTTGGCCACGAACAGTAATTCGTGCGAACGAGTAAATAACAAAAACACACATGTACCACCTTTTGCCAGCGTAAGTTTGAGCATGTATAGTTTTAAAATTCAATTTTCACTATTGTCATAGACGTCACACACCTCAAAAAATGAAGTGTAGAACAATTGTATAAGAGGTGAGTTGCCACTTGTAGGGATTGAGTGGTTATGAGACAAAATATAAAAAATTTTTTTTCCACCTGGCCTGGGCAGAATCTTTCAAAATCACGCCTTTCGGTCTGCGGCATCGTGTTTCTCCTTGTTTTTTCAGTAAATTTTTCGAGATCCCTTTAAGTGTAGTCCCAAAAAACCACTCGGTTCTGTATAAGCGCCCAGCTTATTATTAAAAGGGACGGTAACTTTGGGTTTATTATCCGCACGTGCCAAAAATGGAAGCGTCGGATCTCCGGGAAAAATAACGGGATGGTACCGAAGAACAAAGCGACACCTGGCTGGTCATAATTATAATACAACAAATTTATTATGCTTACTGCAACTGGCTTAGTGCGTACTGTACGTCGAACTTGAATAAATTATGCATCGTTGGGTTTGTTGTTCGATGCGAACTGATTCATTGGTAGAGTTGGATTATATTTTGTAATCAGTTTGAATATATTGAAGCGTTATGAATGGCTAAGACAATCAAATTCGGCGCCAAAATTGAAGTGAAAATTTTAAATAAAATTTTATTGGGTGGGGTCATAAAGTAGACAAAATTGGGTTAAGTGGCAATTTATACAAATTAAAAAGGTAACGATAGAAATTTACCATGTTAAATTTAGTTTATCGAAATCAACAAGCAAAGAATGTGTTATCATTAAAACCCAAAAAACATAAATACGCTGTCCCTTAAAAAAAGATGCAGATTTAAAATAATGCAATATTTAAAAATATTAAGTTTTTTGATGGTTTAGGGTAGGGAACAATAAGGGTTTCAATTTTACGTGAAATGCGAATTCAGTAATCAAAGGCATGAAATTGAATTCATGCCAAAACAGCCAGGTTTTCATTGTCATAAAGAAGTAAAAAGCAAGCATAAGAAGCCCGATATATAAAGCAGTGGAATTAATGCAATAATTCTGTTCCAATAAAAAACAGCCAAAATTTACTTGTGGAAAAGTTACATTTCTAGAAGATCTGGTATTTTTGAAGAATCATAAGGACTTTAAAATATGACTTTTGAGATATTTATGCTAATTGTGATGTAAATTCGCTATGCAAATCATCATAAGAAGTTTTATAAAATCTAGTTAATTTTTATCGCATGCTATAATGAATATCATTTGTCATGGTGACATATAGGCCCATTGGGCCCGGTGCGTAGTTTTATGTTTACTTATATGATATGTACATATGTAATTATGTTAATGTAAATGTCACAATAATAAACATTTTTTTTACTTACTTTGCTTACTCCTCATTGTCTAGAAAAAAAATGAAAAGTGACAAAAAAACAAATTGAACGGGACATATCGTTCACTGGATTTTTAGATTTAAACATCGTTCATCATCTATACATGCATTATACTGAATGAAGATCATGTCAAATAAATGATAAAAATCAATATGAATATAAATATCATTCAAGTAACTGAGGGTATGTGTTTACAAACAAATGAGCAACTTAAACAATCGGCAAATAAGTATAGTATGGAGTTTAACATTAATCATTTTGTCGTAGCATATTTTCACGAATTTTAAGAGCACATTTGATAAACATCACCAAATTTGTAATTGTTTTATGATTCAAAGATTCAATAAGCTTGAACATACTTTGCCGAAGTGTGTAATGCCCCGGTCACATATTCACGGATAATGCCACGGAAGAGCTACGGTCTAAACGTTCACGGATTACTACGGAAATGTGAAATTTCGTAGTCCGCTACGATTACAGTACAGACACACAACGGTATGAGTACGGAGTCCGACGGATTTACCACCAAAAGCCCCCGGAGAGACACGGACTGTTACGGACCGACACGGTTTGATACGGAGCGACACGAATCAGGACGGACGCACTACGGATACACTACGGTCTGTTACGGTATAAGCACGGGTTAGTACGAATATGTACGGTCTGATACGGAGAAGAACGAATTGATACGGAGAAGCACGAATTGCAACAGATCTATACGGACCTAATACATCCGTCCACAACCTCTTGCATGCTTATTTTCAAAATTCTTCACAAGAAAAGAACACCTAGAAAACGAATTGCAGAGTTCAATGATTTTGGCGGAGAGGATTCGGCCTAACCGCGTCCGACCCCCGAGACACATCAGGTCCGATTAAAGTGATTTTTTTTAAAGGACGCTGGATCCTCAACAAGTTCGGCCATGAGAGCCTCATACTAAACATGAAGTGGTCTTTGTAAAAGCCCGTCTCTAGTCCACCATCTCGTCTGTCTTCTCTTTCCTAATAAGATATGGACTAGTTATCATTAATGAAAAATGTTGATCAATACTGCTTCTCTTTTAATTTTAAGATTTGCTGTTAGGTGAATGTTTATGTTTTAAAAATATGTAAAAAGCTTGTAAATTAATTTTATAATCACTCAAGGACCAGCGTCCGAGGCTTATGAGACACTTCGTTTTATGTACATATTTACTCCAATTGCACGATCCAATGTTTGTAAAATATGTAACATTAAATGTTATTCTATTACTTGTAGTACGGTATTAATATATTTTACCTCTATGCATGTCATCAAGCAGCTCGACCACTGCCCCCTGCAGTTGCAGCCAGTAAATGGCAATTATCATTTATTGAATGTTCCCGCAAATATGTCTGTTTTAACAAGAAAGTACTATTTATACCCTTGAAAATACTTAATTCATCCGTACTAAACAGTGGCGGAACATTTTCGTGTTGCAACGCAATAAACCGTATAAGACCGTGCTAATCCCTGTCACTCCGTAGTACAACGTATTACGATCGTGACTTTCCGTGACAATGCCGTATTAATCCGTATTAAAACCTTAGCTTATACGTAGGGTAACCGTACAAATACGTAGTTCTCCGTACTAAACGTACGAAACCGTGGAAATCCTTGACAAGTTGGTGGACGGACTAGTACGGTTTTCGTACGGACCAGTACGTATCAGTACGCTTTAATACGGACTAGCAGGGACACGCTACGGTTGATTTTTCCGTAGCAAATTTTTGTGCATGTTCAAAAATTGTCAA